CAGCAGCAGACGGCCTCGTGGCCTTGTCTCTTTCGTCTCTCACCAAGTGCAGCAAATTCACATAAGTCCTAAAGACAGAATGCTGCAGCCGCATGCGCGGGTTGACGCGGATAGGAGACGCCTTATACACCCCTGCAGCAGCAGCAGCAGCAGCAACAGCAGCAGCAGCAGCAGCGGGTTCAGCTGGGAGCAGCGCCCCTCAACAGAACAGGAAGCCGAGCAAAATAGCGGCAAACCGTCCGCAGCAGCCTCAGGTTCCCGAGCAGCAGCAGCCTCAGCCTTCTCATCATCAGCAGCAGCAGCTGCATCAGCAGCAGCTGCAGCATCAGCAGCCCCATTCTCTCATGACCATCCCCATCCTCACCATCCTCACCAGCAGCAGCAGAAACCCCGACCGCAGCAGCAGCAGCCCCACCAACAGCCCCATCATCATAATCAGCAGCAGCAGCAGCACCAACTGCCCATCAGCAGCAGCAGCAGCAGCAGCAGCAGCAGCAGACCCGTGATTTCGACTCTGTCCCCGGGTCTGCATGCGTCTACGAGGTCGTCGTAGGCGTAGACTGTGAGGCTTTGTGGGGTTTCTCCGGGACTGAGGAGTTCAGGAACTTCAGCAACTTTGATAAGTTGTTTGGAAGCAAAAGCACTTTGCTGCAGCCACAAAGCCAGCGACCCCACAGCCCCGCAGCTGCTGCAGCGCTGCGGCTGCACCACGTCGCCGTTCAGCACGCAGGCGTACACTTCGTGCAGACACTGGCCTCCGCTCCGCGGGTCCCGCGCTGCAGCAGCAGCAGCAGCAGCAGCAGCAGCAGCGATGGGAGCTCGCGAAAAAAGCAGAAAAAATGCTTTCCGCCGCATGCAAATTCGCCGCCGCGCTGTCTAGACACCTCAGCGCCTGGCGGGGCTTTTGCTCTTTTTTGCTTTTTTGGAATTTCCCATTTTGCAATTTATTTGAACTCTTTTAAAAGCATAAAGCCTTTAAAAAGCTCCACTTAATGTGCAAAAAATATTTTAATTATATTAAAATATCTTTTATAAGGACTTTAATGTGAACATCCAGCTGCAGACAGCTGTCCATACACCCCACTCACAGATAAACCCGCATCTATCTTCACGCAAAACAAAACAAGAAAACAGCAGCACAGCAGCAGCAGCAGCACAAGCAGCAGCAGCACAAGCAGCAGCAGCAGCAGCACAAGCACCACAAGGCGCAGCAGCACCACCACGCCCCGCCCCAGCAGCCCCAGCAGCAGCAGCAGCAGCTTACCGTGGCACCTGAATGCTGCGAGAGTCATCTCGGGAATAACTTCGGAAACTCTAATGACAACTCCTTTGAGACAAACAAGTCTTTCAATGTCCACTGTGGGGTCTAGACACCGCAGAGAGTCCATCAGCAACGCAGGCTTCGAGTGAAACCGCAGACGCGGAGCCTGCACACAAACCCTAAACCCTAAACCCTAAGCCCTAAACCCCAAACCCCACCCCCAAACCCCAAATCCCAAACCCTAAACCCCAAACCCCAAACCCCAAACCCCACCCCCAAACCCCAAACCCTAAACGCCACCCCCAGCGCCCCTCCCCGCACCCGCACCCGCCAAACCCCGCCGCGAACCCGCAAACCCTAAACCCTAAACCCTAAACCCTAAACCCTGCCTGCTGGAGAAGCAGCTCGTCGTGCTGCGGCGAGGGCTCGAGGAAAAGCCCGTGGAGCTCGCGGAGCTGCGCAAACTTGGAACGCAGCAGCGCGTCAAATGCTGCTGTTGCGTCTTGGGGGGCGTTGACAACAGCAGCAAAAAGTGTGGGGCTGAACGCATGCAAGTGCTGTAGAGACACCCCGAAGGCCACGCGCTCCCCACAGCCGCGCGCCTCCAGAAAGCGCAGCAGCTTCCGCGTGTACAGCGCGGCAACTCGATCCCCGATCCCGATCCCGATCCCGATCCCAGACTCCCCGCCCCACTCCCCGCTCGCCAGCTCCAGGTCCTCCTCGGACGCCGTCACCACTTCGCGCGCCACGCAGCAACCAAACCCTAAACCCTAAACCCTAAACCCTAAACCCCAAACCCCAAACCCTAAGCCCCAACCCCTAAACCCCAAACCCCAAACCCCAAACCCTAAAGCCCAAACCCTGAGCCCGCGTGACGCGCGCGGCGCGGCGCGGCGGGCACTGCGGCGCGAGGGTTTAGGGTTTAGGGTTTAGGGTTTACTGCCTGCGTAGTCCTCGAGCACGAAAGTGTCCAAAAACCTCTCAAAAGCCTTTTCCAAGTCCGGCCCCACAACCTCCCGCGGCAACTCCGGCAGCCGCTGCATCTCCGCGTCCAGCAGCAAAAACTCTCTCCCCATATCTCCCAAGTCCGCCCTTGCGAACTTCACTCTCCTCACGGCCAAGGGGGTACTGCCGTACTCGCTGGCCCCCGCGGAGGACCCCAGGGGGCCCCCGGGGGCCCCCCCGGGGGGCCCCCCGGGGGGCCCCCCCGGGGGGCC